TTGTGTAAGTCGTTTAAATTCCCCTTTTGTAGTGTATAACTATTCAACAAATGAGCACTTGAAGGCACGGGTCGCGATTGAATCCTTCAAAAACATTCTCTCATTGGGTGAGGTAGCAGGACTCCTAATCATTGGGATGATGGTACTGCCGCGACCCGAAAGTGCGCGATAAGGATGCCAATGCCTTTGCTCCCTGGCTCACAACGTGCTCCCTCTCGTTTTCCCTCTCCTCGCAGCGCGCTTTCTCTTTCTCCGTCGTACCAGTCGACCTCGGAAAACTTTCGATCTTTTCCATGGTGCTTTCTGCTCCTTTTCCGCATCGACTTTACTCTTCGCACCTCTTGTCTAATTTTTGAACAAAATAACCCATCAGTTCGATCGCGACCCGTGCCTTTAAGATCAGTCGCACTATGATTTCTGAGAACCGACTTCATTCTCTACATTCCTTGGATTCTGCCACTTATACATCAGTCTAATGGGAATTCGAGCTAAAACTGAAGTGAGTACATTGTGCTTTTCAGATCCTTCAATTCGATCAAACATGAGCCGAGTAAATTTGATCACAGCTAGTGAGTTACAGACCAAAGGAACGCAGTTGGGAGCTGGAGCGTTCGGAGTCGTGTATGCAGTGAGTCATTTATCCGCTAATCTTAAATAAACGATGCAAATTCGAACATTTATTTCATTGGACGTACTTTCTGGTTTTCTGCTTCCGAAAATCAGATGAGCGTCGAGCACAGACCGCACAACACAAATGACGACAGCCTCTATCTGGTTACTAGTGGTTCATAGTGATAGCTGATAGTGGTCAATAAAAGGCGGCTAATCACACATTCACATTTCGTGGAGGCCTCCGTCACTTGTGGTGCGTGGTCTGCACTCGACACGCCCGGTTTTCGGAAACAGAATATGGTTCTTATCTATATGAAATGGAGTCTGCTGCTAACATCTTATTTCTAGGGTTTTTGGTTCCCAAAGGGCAAAGGCAAGATAAAAGTACCGGTCGCAATCAAACTTGTCAAGGGGACGTGTACTGGAAAAGAGGTGAGTCTGAACGTTTCCAGAAGTTTGCACATGTGGGTGATCTTTCCTGCTCAAAGTAGTGTTAAGGAGACCGAAATGCTGAATGAAGCGATGCAAATGTCCTCCCTTCGCCATGAACACCTTCTGCGTCTCGTGGGAATTTGTCTGCACGAAGAAGGAATTCAACTGGTATTTGAAGCAAAATTAATGTATCCTCTTTGGGTTCTAATATTTATCTTTAAGGTCACACTTCTACGCCCACTCGGAAATCTTCTCAATTTCCTGAAAAAGCACAAAGCTCACTTATGTGGCAAGGATCTCCTGCTGTACTGCTATCAGATATCCTCGGTACGTAGTAAGAAAAATGAATGAGACCTACGATGATTGTGTGATTTGTGCGCCATACATTCGTCGGCACTGGTATTTGAATTTGCCTACAAAAACTTACGAGAGCTAGTAGATGCCCGAAACGACGTCGAATTACACCACAAACACAAATAATGGCAAAGTTAGGGATTTTTGGACAAAGTGAAGCTTTTACGAGAATTCTGGAATGAAATGTAAGCTTAGGTTAGAGGAGGTACCCATTTGATGCCACGTTCTCAACAAAGACCGAGACGCCGATATGTCCAAGGATGTAGCACTGACCCCGCCCAACACCACTGCTCCGCCCAAAGATCTGCTGTCCCGTTTCGCTGCTGCTGAAAAGGAACTTATTTTTGTCCTTATCGACGGTTTCTACCCATTTTTCTTTAACACGTCACGTCTTTACTGTCAGTTGCAAGCGCAATGACACATCAGTTATACCTCGGCCTTTGCCTTTAAGCCCGATTTCTCCTCTTTTTATGTGATGTCGTCTTTAGGCTATGAAGTACCTGTACGAGCATCGTATCATTCATCGCGATCTTGCTGCCAGAAACGTTTTGGTGAAACGCCACAACCACGTAGAAGTGACCGATTTTGGCCTCGCAAAACTTCTCGACTACGGTCAGGAAAAAGTGAAAGTCATGGAAGGAAAGGTAGTTTTTTTTACAATGTGTCTAATAAGTGATAAATCTCATAGATGCTCACCTAGGTCGCAATAAAATGGTTAGCATTGGAATCGTTGAGAGATCAGAGCTACACGCATCGTACTGATGTCTGGGCATACGGTGTCACATGCTGGGAAATCCTAACCTTTGGACAAGTGGGTTTCTTAAGCTTTACGCAAGGATTTCACATAAAAAAGTGCGCAACAGGCAAATTTATGTCAATTCTTGCAGAGCCCCTATCAAGGTATGGATATTTGTTCGATCAAGAATTTCCTCAAAGAAGGGAATCGGCTTTCGCAGCCCAGCAACTGCTCGTCGGAACTCTACCAAGTTTTGCTGCAATGTGAGCTTTTGTTGTAGCCAGATTTGTTCCGTAGACGACATAAACTTAAGGTCACCAAATTCGAAAAGGTGACTGAGCTTGAACCTTTACTTCCACGATGACTTTTATAATAGTTCGTAGATTGTTCTGGTTTTTCGCGGATATAATGTGGAAACAAAATCAAACCAACTGGCGGTTAGCTCCTGTTTGAAGGCTTCCTGCATTCATCAAAAAAGCAGTAATCGATTCCGAATTGACGTTTTTACCAAATCAAAGAACTCAAATTTAGGCTGGATGGCGAATCCGGAGTCTCGGCCGACGTTTACAATGCTCCATGATCGATTCTTAAACTTCTGCCGTATCCCTCACCTATACGTTGTGGTACGTTCTTTTTTCCATATTCATTGCAGTGAAGGCATTAAAAATCCGCGCTTTTGCGTATTCATCACTCCATAGAGCACATATGGAGCGTACAGTTTCATATGTAAGATAATTTTCACCAGCTTAAAGGAGGAATTCCACGATAAGAACGAAGGTAAAGAAGGGGAAATTGCCTAGTTGGGAGACAGGCGGACCTCCTGAGGGTGCTGACCGACGCGCAATTGGCAGCGAAAGATTTGACCTCGGCGATCTAGCATGGCTCACTCTTGGCGGGTTGGTACGCCCACCGACTATCTAATCACTCGCCGCAGGTCTATACGTGGCGAGTGATTAGATAGCAGAGAGAGAGTAGTGTTGAAGAGGGCACAA